TTCTCAGACTTTAAGAGGAAGTTGGTTGTGGACGATTTATTAGGCATCTCTGTAAGAAGGATGGGGGGAATAAAGTGCAGACGTGGTGAGCAGGAGATGTCAATCGCAGGGAGGCTCCTCGTCGACCTCGCGCACGCGATCCACGTTTCCAATTGCCTTCCGCCTCTCGCCTATAAAAGTCCACTTAAACAAACTAGAATATATTACAATAGCAACGGTGACTCGCTATTCCTTTGCTTCCCCTTAAAATATGCATTTACCTGTATACTTCTACACGTCTACGTAAATCAGCGTCAGTCCATTTCTCTTGCGATCATCGCGGCGCACGGTTTTTACTTGATTGCGTAAATACCAACGATGCTGATTACATATGTGAGCCTGTGTGGCTGTGTGTCTGTCACAGAGCACCAGGTGTACCTGACAAACACAGCAATCGGCAGCGATCACAAATAGAGCGCGTAGGGCGGTGTTTGGGCCCCGCCAAGTCCCTGTCCCTTCTTCTCCTCCTAGAATGCATTCATTCTGCAAGATGCAATGCCCCTTCCATCTCGCGGGAAGTCTCGGGGTGAGGCAATAAAAGCGAACATCGTACTGAAGGTAAAGGGCTATACTTCTTAAGCACCGCTCTGGGTAATAAAAACGGCATAAGTATCAAAAACAGTTCCAACTGGTGCGATTTAACACCTGCTCTTCTGGAAGGCATGCAAATAACGGCACTTGATGACCGCATTGCTATGCGCAATTGCAGCACTGTGCATCTTGAGGTGCATAGAGCTCAACCGTTTTCTTCGGTTTCCACAAAGTTAGTGGAACAAACGCTCACATACATGCGTACATGAGTTTGCATCAATTGCTCTCAGTGCCATGCAATGAGCTGTTTCAAAATGAACCTCCTTACACAACGAACACTTTGTTAGGTAAGAAGCGTTGCACATTCATGATGTGCAAGACATGTAAGAGGGCGAGGCTCCTCCAGTCAACCTGCACAGCTCATCTTTAAGTCATGAAGAAGGCAGATGAAACTGACTTCTTCGCATCCTCAATACATCCGCATTGACAGGGAAGCTGCAATGAAGTTGAGGTAAATGAAAAGGCCCACACAACTGAGGTAAATGTGTGCAGACAGGTAGTTTAGGTCGTCTGTTTTCTAATGCATTCCCTTAAATATGGTCAGATTGCCAAATAGTTACCGTTTTGTTGTTGGAGGTCTTAGCGCGAGGACTTTGCGAACAGCCCCACCAATAGCGATGCTGAGTCACCCTCTGACTCACGTTGACTCGCCTGCCTTACCAAACACTGCGATAACAATCCACTCTATTGCCTTTTGTCCCCTCTACTCAGTAGGAAAATTCCATTCCACGGACATTCACACTCGTTGTCAGGCCTATTCCCATGACTCGCCAGCAGGTGCAGAGGCACTCGAAGGCCACTCTGGTTGCAAGAAACAATTCCACCAAATCCGTCCTCCGGTCACGGGCACGGCTTCCGGAGACGGCTCATCGGGTGGCTCTAAGCGCAAAGCCCATTTGACTGCGCGTAATGAGACTGGGGTGGGCGAGATGAAGCTTCGGCACGACTCGAAGAGCACCCCACTCGGCACAGGCGAGATGGACGTTAACGTGACAGTCGAGTGTGTCATACTCCGTTTATTCGACTGCATGTACAAGTGGCGGTCTTTTTGACGACCAACTCACTCCTACAATCAGGTCGATCCAAAGCCTATCTCCATCCTTCCAGTGTGGACACAACATCATCGAAAAGAAATTGTCGCGCGACTCTGTGGAGAACACGTGAGCATCTCATCCACCACATCCACATCTACCACCACACACACGGGATTAGAGCGGTTAGCGTGTCAGTATGGTGCGCAGTGGAGGGGAGTGGGTAGGAACATCAGGTCAGACATCACATTATCCTCGTCACGACGCGGCACCCTCACAGAGGCGAACATTGAAGCTCGTGAGAGTAGGAGGCAAGCTGTGCCTTCCTCACCATGTGGGGTAAGGCGTTGGTCATCTTGCCAATGCCCAGCACGCTGGCACAATGCAAAGCGTGCACCTCTCGCGGCTTCGTCACGAGCATGTGTGATGATGCACAAGCAACACGAGGCGCCTGCCTCAATCCGATGTTGGTAGCTTTCAGAAGCATATCAACAGCACGTGTCTGCAAGTTAGGCGGAAGCAGTTTGTAGACATGTTCGTCTTGCCAAACTCATCACTTACCGTTGGGGCATCGACCTCCACTCCTACATTCCTCAAATTTGCATCATCAATGGGAATAGCTACGAAATGGAGAGATTATGAGTTGTTGTGACATTGGGTGAGTGAAATGCGGTGAGCGAATGAAGAGAGAAAGTCATTAACTGTGCTGCTACGACTCACTCCCGTCGAGAATAGTGGAGTTTGGAGTAGTTCACGTCCTAATATCAACACACTGCTACTTCACGTGTGCTCATCACCGAAACTTACGTAAATTCAATCGACGTCACTCTCGTACCCGTCCTCCTTCCTCCTCCTCCTTCTCCTCCTCCTACGTAGCATTTTCTCTCCAGCAACCAAAAATGCAAAGAGTGCAACACAAAGCACTCATGAGCCTCCACACCTCCACAGTGTCAACGCGCAACAACAACGTGTCCTACAACTGCCGCTCATGTTAATTTCGAGTGGCTGCAATTTCGGTCCACAAATTTAACTCTACGTTGTGGATGTGTGAGAGGTAGCATTGGCTCGAAGTGGTTGAATTTGGAGGAGTCCCTTCTGCAGTTATGAACACGTCCATGTTTGTAAGCCTCGAGTGATCTTATCCACTACCCTCCACGTGCAGTTGATCCACCCTTAGTGTGGATATGAATGGCATAGAGGAAAGCACTGGCCAGCCTATACGAAAAAAGTCATCTCCCTTGATTCGCAGGAACAAATAAGTCGGCAGTCCTCACATCACTTCATCCTCTGCCACCTACTATCGCCTCTGTCTCTCGCCACTGCACATGATTTTTTACCCCAGGCATCCGTGGGGTCGATGTGACATCATGTGCACACGTGGCTTAAAAGCACCAGCACGTGATGCTCAGCCCCAAAAATGACAACTCATTGCGAAGATGTAGTATCGACGTTTGCCCACCAGTGACTATTTCTCGTACCACTTTGACCTCTGCAATGCTTAGTGGCTAGGAGTGCGAGCATGTGTGCCAGTGATTCCATTCTTGCTATGCTTCCTACACCAACGTGTAATGAGCTCAGCAGCAAGTGTCTAGGGCATCGAGATGGCTTGCAAGGTGTTGCGCCAGACTCCCTCACGATGGGGAGCCGACTAGCTAGACGTGTAATTGATTTACAGGTCCGTGGTTGCATGCTACACATTCTACGCAATCCTCTCCTTCCCATTATTCACTGCACTCGACCCACTCCAAACCACCGTCTCAAGAGTCAGCGTTTCACTGTAGGTAAATCTGGTCCAGACTTATGGCAAGTAGGCAACGCAACACCCACCATACCAATGGAGACCTGTGAAATCATGCTGGTGCACATTGACAGCAAATCGGCTGATGTATCCGCGCTTCGTGAGGACATCGCAAATCTGCGTGTTGAGTCACTGCGTCCTCTGTTATCGAACAAGGCGGAGGGGAGGCAGTCGGCGACGCCCGCAGTCGACGGCATTGCGATTGGATGACCCGACACTAGCCACTACGCTCACGTCGAGGTGAGGTCATTCGCCATCCCACTCACCTCATCCTACTCACACAGTGATTATATAAAATCTGACATCACAAGGCTGCGCGGCTATTCAATCAAAGCGTTTGTTTATGGTGGTAAGTTCTTGTAGTCTCCACTGCTACCTCCGTATCCATCACCTACTCCTCACTCCTTTTCAACCGCCCTTCTGCTTATTCATCCACCCTTCATTCCACATCTCTTCTGACATTTATGCCGTTCATGATTGCCATCTGTCTTGCCCAATCCAAGCAGCACCAAGTCACGGATCGGACAGTGGAATGGCCACACAGAATACGCCAATACTTGGCCAGAGTAATGACTTGGATCATCGGCGTTCCCGCCTTGAAGTGGATTTTGCCAACACCTACGTCTCAACCTCACCCCTATCACCTCCCCCAAGAATTGACGTGGCTTGACCGACAGTTGTGTCGTCTGCTCTTCCCACTAGCTCAGCACTCCCATCCCAACATCGACGAGGCAATGAAGTATTGGCGGAAGCAAACAAAATACTACGGACGATTTCTCGCCACCTTGCAGTTCAGGCATTTTGCTGCTAGTGTATGCTTTCGCAAGCTGCCTGATGGCAACTTGATGGCAATGTCGGAGTTGGAGGTGAAAGTACACCGGAAAGTAGTCTCCTTAAAGCTTAAAGCAGAGAGGTATTTGAACCAACTGCCATTTTGTCTTCACGCTAGTTCTGTCTGTGGATGCGGCTTTGGGTACAGTTCCCTTACGCATGTAATCAGTGTTGAAATGGGAATTCCAACTGACTTTCCTCACTGCCATGACTGCATCATCTATGTGGTGGATCTTTCAAGACCTCGCACGGATGATCTCAAAGACATTTTGAAGTTGCTATCTCCGCATCAGCACTTAATCATTGCTGTGATTGTGGACTCAAGGAAAGGGAGGTGCAGTAGGATGGAGTATCTAATGCAGTTCTTTGATAATTTTGGGGGCTTCAACAACTCTCCACTGGCCTGCACTGCCACGAACT